ATAATAAAATAATAAGTTTTTTTAGTTTCAATAATAATATGTTTAAAAAAACTTGGGACTTTTTCAGGACTTAAGTCTAGTCCAGTCCCAAGATAGGACTGCCAGTCCCAGGACTGTCCTGAACTGTTTAGGACTGATTAACATCTCTAGTGCTGGGCTTGTGATTTACTTAAAGGAGAATGAAACATGGTCTTATGCTGATTTTTTGAACCTCCATTGTGGTACACAGTGAATCTCAATTTAGTGGATAGTTTGGGCAATTAGGGAAAAATCTGTTAAATCAAGATATTTACTATATTGAGAAGATTTTTAATTAATACCTGCTAAATTGAGGTTCGCTAAATCAAGATTTACTGTGTATAATCCTCATGTAAGTATGCTCTTCAGACGAATGGCTTGCTCTTGACAGCAGATTTTTATTCAAAGCAAAGAGATAAATCCAACAAATTAGCGAGTAACATATCTTTATATTTTGTTTAAGGGAGTTCTTACCTGCTTTATCCAGATTAAGAGTGTTGGATTTCATATCAACCCAAGTGATGGATTGGTAGAACTTCTATTTGCTTTTATCCAGATTAGGAGCATTGGTTCTCATCCAGCCACCACTATTTACAATATTTTCTCTACTGGTTTAATTTTTTACTTTTGATGGAAATAAGCATTTTCTCATTTATATTTTTATTCATTAATGTAATATTTTTTTTTTGCAAATATCAGAAATTATGTTACCAATCGAGTTTTCATGCATTTTTTGCGTACCTTAGTACTCAAAATGAGTATTAGATTTGTTAATCAAACCTATATCGAATACCCAGTTTCTGGTTCTGCCTGATATGATCTACAACTAAAAAATTATGCCATTATCATTAATTTCACCATCAGAAAACGATTTTATTCTTAAAGGAGTTGATGATAATATTCGTGCTGATGGAAGAGGACGATTAGATTATCGTCATGTTGATTTAGAAACTGGAGTTATTCCACAAGCAAGTGGTAGTGCTAGGTGTAGACTTGGGGTAGGAACTGATGTTTTGGTCGGAGTAAAAATTGAGATTGGTGCAATAGAAATTGATGGCAACTATGAACAAGTTGTGGAAATTAAATCAAAAAGAGGTAGAGTTGTTTGTAGTGTAGAATGGTGAGTAAGTAATTGAATGGTAGTAACAAAAAAAAAAGATTTTTGAATGTGAATGTGATTGATTAAATAAAAAATTTATTATTAATTTCAATAATTTCAAGTTTAATAGTTCACCAATAGCATCACAACAATTTGCAGGAAGAGGAGCAGAAGATATTAATAATGAACTTACCCAAACAATAGAACGAATTTTTAATGGACCACAGGGTGGTTTAAATCTTGAGAAACTATGTATTATTCCAGGTCAACAATGTTGGGTTGTTTATATTGATGCCATGGTATATCTCTTAAAAGAGTTTATATAAAAATTTTTTTTACCATTACATTTTAATTCTTCTCTCATATTCCGCTTCAACAACAACAAAAAAAGGTTCTAGATTATGCAGGTAATCTTTCAGATACAATTTTCATAACTACACGTGCAGCACTTTATAATGCAAGAGTACCAAAGACTACTATTCAAGATCATGGAGATGGTGAAATCGAGGTTGATATATCAGAAGATGTTGAGGAATGGGAAAGAATATATGGATGGGACATGGTACCAATTGGTGTTACTTTAAATAGAGTTTGTATATGATTCATTTTTAGAGATATTATGGTTTAGAGGCATTTAATTAATTAATATATATAATTATTCAGATTGGAGCAAGACATATAGTTGATGCTACACCTTTGGAAGAACTTGCAACAGAAACAAAATTATTGGTAACTGTTAATAAAATGGGAAAAATATGTGGAATACAAAAAAGTGGTAGTGGTTGTATTGAACCAAGTCTTTTGAAGGAAATGGTACAGGTAATGATAAAGATGATATATCATCATCATCATCATCATCATCATCATCATATTGTTATTATTTAATAAATGTAAATTTATGTATCTTGTATAGACTGGAAGAACTATAGGATTAGGTTTAATAGATAGTTTGGATTCTATGCTTAAACAAGAAGAAGAAGAAATAAATAAAAAACATGCAAGAAGAGAACCAATTGACCAACTTGGATTTTTTGCAACTACTTGATTTTTAATTATATATATAGTAGATCAGAACTTTTATAGAGAAAGGCAATATATAATTTATTAATTTATTGAATAAAGAATTTTTTAAGACAATAATTACATTTAAATAATCCTTGTATATGCAAAAAACTCAATTTTGATTTAGAGGCCTTATACACAGAAATCCCCCTACTTGCTATATAACATATATTGTTAATGTGATTGAAAGTAGGTAGTGAAAAGTATAGTTCACACTTCTATAATGACTCTTCCTATAACAAACACTAAATAAAATCACACTATAATGAACTTCTCTTTCATTTTTTTATTATTTCTTTATAGCAAACAAAAGGCAAAAAAATATACAGCCTAAAATTTCATTATAGAGCGTGAACTGCATGATAAGCTTATAGAAATACTAAGCTTAAATCTACTTGTAAGAATCATAATATTGAAGGCAAAAAAAACAAAATAGACTTATCTCAATATACATATTTAACAATTCCATTGATGTTGATCTAATTTATTAATTTGTTGTTTAAAAAAATGTTTTTTTACATCACCCACACTTTCAGTAAATATCGTTGTTATCTATAAATATTAATAATAAATATTTAATATAGTTTGTTTGTTGATTGTACACTTCTGGTTTCTTAAAAAATTTGGTTGCAAGCAAAAATGGGTTTCAAGTCAAGCCATAAGTTCTCCTAAGAAAGACAGCCTTTAGTATAAAGTAAACTTAATTGCCAAGAGGTATTTTATGTAGATAGATACAAAATTCTCAATTAGAATCAGCAAGTCGTTATCGAGAGCCTTCAAGTATCAGCTACTTTTTTCTTTTAAGAATGGGGCCATTTTTTATCATAACATATTAAATATGGTCTATGATAAGTTCCATTCAAAAACAATAGTAAAAAGCTCAAGTTCCATAAAATTTAAACTTCTTTGGGTTTTATTACAAACATTTGTGTCTTCGCTTTGTAGTAAGTCACTCATTATGGTCTTTTTTTTTATCAATCATGGGCTCATTCAACCAAAACTGGGTATCGTTTAACCGTAAACAATATGGCTTTGTATCTATTTATATTATGTTGTTAATATTAAATAAAATGAACAACTCGGATAAATTTTAATTCGAATAATTTTTTCGTATAATTTTTTTAATTCGAATAATTAAACCTTAATTTTGACCTATTACTCTAAGTCTATATAGTTTAATACGTTTTAATAGGGTTCTATGATTATGTTGTACGTGAAAATGAAATTAATGGCACGCCATGCTGGACAAAAGTGTACTTACTATTACATTTTGTTGTAAATAATTTGCGTAAATAATCGACAATCATTTTGACAAGCTTGAAAACAATTTAGACATCCATCTATAATTGTCAACAAAATGTAGTACACTTTTGTCCAGCATGGCGTGCCATGGAAATTTATGTGAATTTTGCAACTCACGTATGTGAAATTCAAATTAGCCAATCAGAATTTCATATCCAAACACCCCACCCAATAGATTTCGATTTCACATACAACAGTTATAAAGAATGTTTCAATTATTACTCAAAGGTTACTTATTACATTATTTACTTTTTGCATTATTAAAGATTCGAAGACGTGTCATACTTTACTACTACCATGTCTCTCGGTATTAGTATTAGCATTATAATTAGGGAAAATTCTACCGAATATTATATTTAATTCCGATTATTTATTTTATTTATAATTTTTAGTTTTCTATATAAAATATTATTTCTTTAGTAAAAATGTACAAATTCAACATTAATCTTCCAAGATGATTTTGTATGTACATTAATAACTTAAAATATCACAATAATCTATCATAAAAACTTTTGAAAATTATGTTTAATCTAATAAATTAATTTTTAGGCGGGATAGCATATTTTTATTTAAATTGTCGAGTTTGTTTGGTTCGATGCGTCGTCGCCAGTTCATATTATCGATCGCACTGATTTTGATCATCTCCATACAATTTAGATGGATAATACTTATGATACTTGTTTTGTTGTTGTTGTGAAGATGATGATGATGGTTGCGATGGTGGCTGTTGCTGTGGGTGATGGTTATGAAATTGTTGCTGTTGCTGAAGAAAATGACGTTGGTTACTTGATGTCGGTTGAGGAAGTGTTGGTGATGGTGTTTCATGTTGTTGTTGAAGAGGTTGCAGCAAATTTTGATGTATTAGTTGATTCATTTGTTGATGAGATTGCTGATTGGCTTGAGCCTGTTTTTGTTGATGGGCTTGTTGAGGTGGCATGAAATAAGGCATTCGTGAAGATTGGTCAATCCAAACATGCTGCGGACGAACTTGCAGAAAAATGTTTTGAGGTTGTTGATTTGATGTACTAGGCATAATAATATTAGATATTGATGGAAAAAATGTTTGCTGTTGTCTTCTTTGCGCAGTCATTTGTGCAACCACATCTTTTTGTTTTCTAGCCATTTCTTGTTGTATATGAATATGTTGTATTGATGGTATTAGTTGAGGTTGAGGTTGAGATGTTAGTGCTGGTGTTGGTATATAATGGTGTGAAGAAAACGGTTGACCTGAAGTCATGTATTGTTGTAATTGTGTAGTTAATGATGAAATTGGTGAAAGAATGTTTTGCTTGTTCCCTTCATTTGATGTTGAAGTACTACTATGCAAATTTGTATTTTTTTGTAGTTGTTGTTGTAAAATATAAGGATTTTCATTATTGTTTTTGTTAATGTTATCATTATCATTTATATTTATTCTTTCATCATCACCATTACTACTGTTACTATGGCCATAACGTGATATGGGTTCATCAGTTTCATTCAACACAAATGCCACAGAATTTTTTGTTGCAGGTTGAACTGATGATACTTTGGTAGCAATAGGCGGAGTTGAGGATATTTTCATTATCGATTTCTGTGGTTCAGAATCATGATGGTATGATGATGTATGTGATGATAATAAGTTTAATCTGTTTGGTAATTTTGTGGCCATTATTCGTTCAGATGGTGTTGACAAAAAGTTATTTTGTGAATTTTGAAAATGAAAAGATGATCGTTCTTCGATATTAGTCAATTGGGAAGAAGATATTCTATTTTGGTGAATATTAGTGGCCCTCGGATTAACAACAGAAGTTTCATCATTTATAACCTTTTGCATTATATTAGTGTTTTGATTTGATTTTTCAGAAAATGTATTTTTTATAATATCATTATTTGCTGTTGAATTATTATGAGTGTTATTATTATCTAAATTATGTCTAATATAACTAGTATTATTATTTATTTGTTTTTCATAATAATTCTTAACCTGAACTTCAGATTTGGTTTTGATAAATTCAGAAATTCTTTTAAAATCTCTTCCATACAGATTCAATGATTGTTCAAATTGATTGATTTCTTTTTTATTCCAGTAAGATGATATCTTTTTGTGATGTGAGCCTGTAGTAGTACGATCTCCTGTGGTTGTTTTTTTACCTGAACCATCATCACCATCATCCTTGTCACCACCACTGCTGTCCATAATTTCATTTTGTTTTGGTCTGATTTTTCCTTTTGATGTATTATTATCATTAGGTAATACTACTACTTCATGATGCTGTTGCTGCGAAGGTTTTGAAAGAATAACTTGCCCATTCTCCAATGACATCATTGTAAGAACGCATGCTGCTTCATAAATACCAATATTGGATTGGCCCACTGCTAGTAACTTTTGTTGGGTTTGAAATAGATTTTTTGCATTACTTGTTTGAAAATTTTGTGAATCATATTTGTGCTTATTATTATCTACTGCTCGTGTAATGTTATTATCAACATTTTTCACCATATTATTATTAATATTGTTCTTAGTGTTGTTATTGTTATTATTATTTGTAGAATAATCAAATTGTTCATTTGTAGAATTAGTTTTAGCAGCTTCATTAGGAGTTGCAGCCAAGTAATATGGTAACTCATTATTAATATTTGTTGTTGTTGATGATGTTGTCGTTGAATGATTATTATTAGATTTTCTAGATTTAATACCACTATTTGCTGTGAGCATCCGCTGACCTCGACCATTTTTTGGAATTAATTCTTTTAAATTTAATGCTTTTTTGTTCTGATAATAATATAAAACACAATTTTTAAATGACTTATTTTCAATTGCTGCCACAATTTTCCCAAAATTTTTTGGATATAATTTAAATTGTTCATAGAAAGTTTCTTTTTCTTGATTTGTCCAATTAACATTAAAATCAACATTGATTTCATAAAATGAGATAGGATCTAAAACAAATGAATTATTATCAATAATACATGAATATTCTCTTCTTTTTTCACCTAATATCATTTGTGGTATTTTTGCCCATGTTTTAGCTATACGTTCTGCTTCAGCAAATTGATTTAATATATCTTGCATTTCTGCATCAGATCTAACAACATCAGTTCTACGTTTTCCTCTGTTAAGTCTGACTGGCCATCTTGCTGCAAACCCAACTGTTGACCCACTATCGTCATCTTGTTTTAATTTTCCTTTGGAGTTAACTGAATTTTGAGCATTCTGTTTCCAAGTTTGAAAGAGCATCTTCCATTCTTGCTGTAAGCCTGTTTCTTTTGATTTATCTTCTATTGAGCAATTTGAAATATAAAATATTTTTAATCGATTATGTTTATCAGTGTTTTGTTGAAAAAATGGATAATCATTTATATCATTATACAATTTCATAGGCCCTAGCAACAAATTATCGGAAAATCTAGAATTGGCTCTTTCCCTTAAAAATTCTTTATTTTGAGCATAAATATTTTCCCATAATTGTAGCTCATCATTGGATGTTTGAGAGGATTCTGACATTCTACTTTCATCATCATCATCATCATCATCATCATCATCATCATCATCATCATCATCATCATCATCACCATCATCGTCGTCGTCGTCGTCGTCGTCGTCATCATCATCATCATCGCAATTATCCGATTCTGGGCTTTCTTTCTTAATATAATAGATTTTTATATTATTATTAGATAAAGTTATTTCATTTGAAGGATAAGTGAGATGTGTATTTTCTTTAGAGTATTTATTAGTTGAAACTCCATTCTTTACACTTTTTTCCATTTGTGATTTGGTAACATTTTGTTGAATAATTTCCAAATTTTTATCTATTTTTTGATTATCACTATTTAATCTCATTTTTTCTTCACATTGCTTTTGAATTTCACTCAAAAGATTTTGATAATAATCAAGTTCATCCTCCACACATTCAAGTTGTGTGCCAATAGAATTATTTTCAAATGTATGTTCTTTTAATTGCATAGATGATAATAATGATGGGACTTTATTAACTATTGGTAAAAATAAAGTTGATGATGATTCCTGTTGCAGTCCTTTTTCAGGAATAATATTTTGTTGAGTATCTGATATTAGATTTTTATTATTTTTATCATTTTTATTATTGAGATTTTGTCCAAGAATGTTATTATCATAAACTTTTGGTTCTTTATTTTCATCAATTGTAATGATTTTATTTTCATCGTCATAATTGGCATTAAGCCTTTCGCTTGTTTCAACATATTCTTTGATTAATTTAAATTGATCAGAACTAACTGTCTTAATTCTTACTGTTGTTGTTTTTTGATTATCTATTATTTGAGAAGACAATTGCTGTTGCATATCAGTTCCACCAGAGCTAATTTCCATATCTTGGGATTGGTCTATTATATTTCCCGATAAATTAGCAGCAGCACTATTACCACAACCAAAATCACCATTTTGAGATAATAATAATGATTCGTTATTTTCTTGATATTTGTTTGGTAATGTACAAAAACCAGATTCAATACTTCGCCAACCTGTCCAACCACCTTTTGGATTTTCATTTGCTTTTCGAAAATGATTTATGTTACTTAACTCATCATTATTCTTAAAACCTGGAAATTCATTATCAGAAATAATAATATTGTTATCTTTATTACTTGCCTCCGAAACTTTTATATAGTTTCTATTATCAAAATCTGTGGACAAATTGTTATCTTTATTACTATAATTAATATCATTGGTATTGTTAATATTGTTGTTGTTTTTGTTACTGTTATTATTATTACAATTACTATTACTATTACTATTATTATATTCTTTCTCGTAATGATAATCGTTCTTTATTTCTTCTTTGTAATTATTGTCATTATTATTAATATCATCATTACCATTACCATTTGGACATCTTTGTATAGATACTTTTAAAGATTTATTATGATCATATCTGAGATCGTGAGGAGTGGTATCTCTGTAATTTTGTATTGATGATGGCGGCGGTGGTGGTGGTGGTGGGTTATGACGGAAATCCCATTCTCTTAAAATTTTTTTTCTGTGATGATGAAATTCACGATAATCATAAGAATCATGTCGACCACCACCACCCCCATCTTGTGGTGATATGTTGTTTCCACGATATGAGTTATTACGTTCTCTATTATCACGATGTCTATTATCTCTTTCATGTTCTCTCTCTCTTGAGTAAGAAGGAAGAGGACTTCTTTCTCTTATCCAATCAGTCTCTCTTTCATCCTGATATCTATTATATACATTACGATGGTTGTTATATTGGTTTTCTGAGAACGGTGGAAAATACTCTCGATGTGGTGAGGGATTCATAGGCGGAAAGTTTTCTGGTGGGTCTCTACCGTAATGCTGTTCCCAACCAAAACTCATTTTTGTGAATATCTATTATTATGTTTTTAATTATAATTATATAAAGAAATGGTTAGCATGCATAGAAAACTATTATTAAAGGAAGGGCCGAGAATACGTGGTTAGAAATAAAGGGGACATGCACGTTACACTTATCTAATCACTATATTTATAGTAAAAAAAAAACATGATGCGGACAAATTTCTCTATAGTTGGCTCGGTCTAAAGACCTCCTAAGTTTTGCATAAATTTTAAAAGTATAGAAGTCACTTTCTGTCCTATCTTTTAAAAAAATAACGTTATTAGTTGATAGAATAGGTCTTTAGTTTTAATGTAATAATGAGATATTCTCAAAAAAATCATTTGTTGTAGAGTTCTATTCTTTTTTAGAACATGTACTTTACTATGTTCATGAGAAATTTGGCCGCTAGGATCATTACTAAATTTAGACCAAACTACAAAAATCATTTCTAAATTTAGACTAATACATGACCATCATATCTAAATTTGGCAGTACGAAATAAATTTTTAAACCCAAAATCACGT